AGGCGAGGGGTTTTAGCATTGCCGCCGGCAATTTGTTGACTTGACTGCAAATGTGTCGCATCTTAATGCGCTGTTATTAAATATGCCACAGAAAATGGAGGCTAGAGTACAACAAAAATAGCAATAAGGAAGCGCAGGATAAATTCCTCGAGGTTGAATCACAACGAATGTCCTGGAAATGTTCTATTGGGTGGCCTTGGCAGAAGAATGTGATCAAACCCAGTGTATATGTGACAACAATGGAATTATGGCAGAGCGCGAAAAGTAATTTATATTTTACATAAAGGTTGGAGTTTGAAAGTTAAAAAATGTTTATAATGGATCAGCGGGAAAAAGATACATACGTAAGTCGATAAAGGTTTTTCGCTCTGAAATCGGATAGTTATTAGAAAAGATGTAGTCTTCGCTGGCAGCCATATTTGATGCCTCCATTTTGATGTATATTAAAAAGGAATCGATTCACAAATCGTTTAAGGTATTCCGCTTATGAATCGGATGATTATTGGCAAAGATATAGCCATCGGAGTGGGCAATATATCGCCCTCATGCATTATCCCCATTTTTGAAGGGGATCGTCCAGAAAATTTGACAAAAAAATGTGAAAAATAATTTGTTTCTGGATTTTGATGCAGATTTAAAGGAAATCCCTTCACAAATCGTTTAAGGTATTCCTCTTATGAATCGGATGAGTATTGGCAAAGATATAGCCATCGGAGTGGGCCATATAGCGCCCTCATGCATTTTCCCCATTTTTGAAGGGGATCGTCCAGAAAATTTGATAAAAAATCTGAAAAATAATTTGTTTCTGGATTTTGATGCAAATTTAAAGGAAATCCCTCCACAAATCGTTTAAGGAATTCCGCTTATGCATCGGATGATTATTGGCAAAGATATAGCCATCGGAGTGGGCCATATAGCGCCCTCATGCATTTTCCCCATTTTTTAAGGGGATTGTCCAGAAAATTTGACAAAAAAACTTAAAAATATTTTGTTGGGAGATTTTAATGCAGATTTAAAGAGAGTTGACTCACAAATCGTTTAAGGTATTCCGCTTTTGCATCTGATGAGTATTGGCAAAGATATAGCCATCGGAGTGGGCCATATAGCGCCCTCATGCATTATCCCCATTTTTGAAGGGGATTGTCCAGAATATTGAACAAAAAATCTGAAAAACATTTTGTTTCTGGATTTTTATGCAGATTTATAGGAGATCTTTATACAAATCTTTTAAGGTATTCCGCTTTTAAATCGGATGATTATTGACAAAGATATAGCTATCGGAGGTGGCCATATTGTGCCCTCATGCATTTTCCCCATTTTTAAAGGTGATCCTTCAGAAAATTGGAAAAAAATTTTAAAAATAATTTGTTTCCGGATTTCGATGCAGATTTAAAAGAAATCCCTATACAAATCGATTAGGGTATTCCGCTTGTAAATTGGATGATTATTGGCAAAGATATAGCCTTTGGTTGAGTCCATATTGTGCCTGAATTGAATTGATCCACAAATCGTTTTAGTTTAATAAAAAAGATGCAACTATCGCTTTGCCCATATTGTGGCATCAGCAAATTCACAATCAACAAAATAATTTGTTATAATTTTAAGAATGATGCCAGAGAGATTTAAAATAAATTGAAGAGTCACATTATAGACTCGGCAAAGTGCGCAACACCGTTGAAGAGCAAATTGAAATTATAATTGTATTAACCACATTTCGAGTCCCCTTATATAATTTGTTCGGAGCTGGTTTCCATTGATGATTATTTTCGTATGCTGATTTTATTGAAATAATTAAACGCGGAAAAATGCCGAAGGTGCGCATTTCATTGATGACCCAAAGTGACACTTGCACATTCATTTGGTGCAATTGTGTTCATTTTTATTATTTTCATTTTTATTTTGTTTCGAAAGTGCGCAAGTGTGTTTCGGATTTAAATTGCATTCTGTTCGGACCTGTCCAATGGTGGATGCCTGCTTGCAATAAATTCGCTTAATGAAGTTTTAAAAAATTCGGACTGCCTGTTGGGGTCTGTGGGTGTGGTAGGCTCTCTCAACGTGTTCAATACGAAATGCATTTAATGTAATTATTTCTTTAATTAAAATATTTAGTGCAGCAGCGGGAACAGCAGGAACAAGAACAACAATGTCTGTCGACGAAAAATCGCCGACGCTAACAATTTGCACAAAAGTCACGTTGCTGCTGTTATTATTGTTAATGTTGTTATAATGCCTTCAATTGACCATTGAGCTTAATTGAAACCATTAAAAATGTTCCATACTTTCGAGGGAGCGGCTTGATTTAAAAATTCGTTAACGACTGTAATGAGGAGCCACCATAATAGGAACGAAAAGGTAAATATTAACGTTGCTTTAATTTCTGTTCAAAACTGCTTAGTTTGTGAAAAATATCATCGCACTCTTGTGCACTTTTTGAGCATTAAATCTAGGGTCAGAAGTGCATTGCATTCGGCAGTTCAGGACTTCCCCATTACATTCCTCTCACCAGCCAGCAAAAGGTTAATTTACTCGAAAAATTCCGGAATGCTTATTCTTAACAAATATGCAAGCAATTGCTTAGCTTACTTTGTAGGGGAACTACAAAAGCAATTGGTTTGGGGCACAATGGCCATCAAGAGGGTGCGGCGAAAAATGTACAGAAAGGGCGAAGCAAATAGCAATGTGGCAGCAACAACTACACTGATTTATCTGCACAAATTGCCAACTGAAATTAATAAGAGAAATCAGTTTACCATTTCCTGTCGACAACGACAACGACGACTACGACAAGGACGACAACAATACTAGAAAAATGCCAACTAATAGTCCATTGTAAATGTCGTTTCTGGACGAGAGGGGTTACGGGGATTGAGTGTGGAAATGAAGAGACATTCCAATAACTGTACAACATCCGGTTGCATACACACAAACACACACACGTACACCCATTCGTAATACGTATATGTATCAAAACCAAACACAATGGCAAAAACGTTTCCATTTTCAATGGGGGAATATTTCTATTTCAACATGAAAATATTTTTAGCAGCCTTTTGTGTAGGATATCTAAACGACTCTTCACCTGACGAAGACCAGATAAAAAATCTGCCACTGAAAAAAAAATAGAAGATAAAAACCCGGCCAAGAAAAATTCAATCTTAATCCAGTCGCTCGGCAGGAAATTTTTTATAGACTGAAAAGTAACTAAACCAAAAATGAGAAAAAAACATGAAAACAGATATGGATGCCATGCACTTAGACCTGGTTGGCTGGGACCTGGGGCTAAGGAATGAAATCGGGGAAATGGGTATGGCTTGGCTGAATGGAACCACTGACGTATGCACTTGACTTGACTTGCACATTTGCGGTGGCAGAAAGCCTCGACAACTCAGTTGAAGCTGGAGCCAAAGCCAAAGCCAAATCCGAAGAAAAATAGTTATTGTTAGAGCAACGAAGGCCATGCCACGAGGAAGGCAGTAAGTAGCTTTATTATAGGATTTTAAGTTATTAGACCGGTGGCACGGGGTAAAAAAGGAGTGGAAAAGATTGCAAGTAGATGAGGACCAAGGATGCAACGATGAGCATTCACATGTGCGGCTTCATGTATCAGGACTTTGCCCAAGTGATGACAGGATGCTTTTTGGCCTACAGCCGAATTTGTCAACAAGACTTGAAAAGAAATTCAATTCATCATTCTGAGTCTTTTGTGGTTAAAGCATCAATATTAGCATTTTATGAGACCAGATCTAAACCGAGGAATCCAACTCAAATTTAATAATTTTTTTTTTAAATTCAATCATTTATTAAATTTAAAAAAAATTGTACAAAGAGAGTGATTATAGATCTGTAGCCAAATGTGATTGGCTTAATCAATTGACTTTTTGTATGTTGCTTTACTTACATTAAGAAAAGCTTAGAAAAACTTAAAGCCTAACCCTAAGAACCTAAACTTTAAACCTAAGAAATAAAATTTAAACCAACTGAGAATATATAAACTTCAATAAAAGATTGTCTCGTTCTGAAACAGAGAGAATTTTATATATGATTAATAAGTTTTTTGAAATAAGTTGACAATCATAAACATAGTATGATTACATACAAAGGAATTCATGCCGCAAGTCTACTGATAAGAAGACTGTAAGCTTGCTCTCAGTTGCTACTCTACTTTTGAAATGAACGGAGGTCTTATTATTTTTTCGCTTTCTGTGTTGGGGGCTTTCACTCTGGCTTCTGCAGAAGTCCATAGGAAAATTTTACTTCCAGCAGAATGTGAGGAGGATCATATTCCGGAAGAGTCTAGGGATAAATGCCACCAAGCATTCCTTAAAGTCGACGAGCAATTCAACGAGTGCTGCAAGTCCAAAAGACAATCTAACAAGTTCAACGATTGTGCTGCTTGTGTTATTAAAAAGAAATCAACGATAAACCACAAAAGTATAGAAACAAGAACTCTTAATAATAAATGTTATCGCACCGATCATAGAAGAAAGTGCATTGCACGTCGCCGTCGCCCCTCGAAATAAAAATGATAAACGTTAAGCATTATCTGTTATTTATTTCAATAAATACTTCATTAAAAAAACTTAGCTCGTTACGAATTGTAATTTTTTTATTTTCAGTACCCTTATGTTTTCTGAAATTTGAATGGTAAAATCCAGGGTCTAACTCTGGTAATGGCTTTAATAAATTCAATTCCAGCGGTTGTCGGGAACCGATGTGTCAAGAACTTTGCACTATCGCGAGTGATCCATTTCCACTAAGTGAGTGAGCAATGTATATGTAGGTCTAACTTGAAGATTATTACAGAAACGTCTGAGAGACTCGGTCGAAATAAGAAAGACGAGATATGATAGACTTAAAATCATAATTGCTGAAACAAAAGTCGCGTTTCTGATCCTGCCAAACGCTCCGCATTAACTACAAAGCAGGTATATAAACCAGACCCACAAAAATTTATTATTAGAGAAATGGCCATCTGCTGTATGCAAAATAAATTCTAAGGAAATGTAGGTAGGTAGATGACATTGGCGGGTGAAAAGGTAATTATAAAATTCCGAAAATCCTTCCATCCATAAACCTTAACTTACCTAGAAAAATAAAATGCAGGTACAGAACAGCCCGACTGAAGCTCCTATAAAAGGAAGATTTTCCGCTGAGAGGAATAGTGTTTCAAGTGCATTCGAACAGTCCGTATACCTTTACTCGTTCTTTTTCGAGATGAAATATTTGGTAACTATTTCTTTTTGAAAACATACGATACGATATTTAACTAATAATTCGTTTTTCTGTAGATCATTTGCTTGTTTGCTTTCTTCGCCATCACCATGGCTCGTCCCCAATTCGGCTTTGGTGGATTTGGAGGATTCGGGGGACAGCAGCAGCAACAAGAGCAATACGGTGGAGGCTTTCCCGGTTATGGCGGAGGGTTCGGGCAGCAACAACAGCAACAAGACGGCTACGGAGGCTTTGGAGGTCAAGAGCAACAACAGCAACAAGCCGGTTTCGGAGGCTTTGGAGGTGGCTTCGGTCAGGAGCAACAGCAACAGGGCTTTGGTGGATACTTTTGATAATTTCCATGTCATTAATTTGTACCATAAAGCCATGTGGGAGTATAGTATCTTGATTAACAAATAAAAAATTTTAAATGAAAAAATATCAATCTTTTAAAGCCCTGTTGGCCGTTAAAATTCCGCTTAATTTTTGATAGAATTAATGCGTATTTCTGCTCTGACCCAGTTAATAATTTAGTGCGATACATTAGGCGACAATAAGGCGACATTTTGGGTGTCAGCATTTGACACTAAAACTAATTTAATGGAAAATAGTCGAGGAGAAGACTTGAAATTTTCCCTTATCGCGACACGCAACTGTCGCGAATCCGCCGCGGGCTGACAACAACTAAGTATAGAATCGCACCCGGCTCATGTTGTTCATATTTTAGCCGACATATCTATTTATATGCAAATGCCACACCTCCCGGAATGTCGAGGCAGCCCCACTGTCACCTGGACTACTCATCCTCGAATGCGTGCCAAAGTCAAAGCCGAAGAATTTTCCTTTGTTGTTTCGGCATTCCTGCAATAATAAATCACGGCACCTATGCCGCCGCCGGAAGGGAGTCGGCGAGGAAAAACTAATAAATCTAAGGCCAATTAATTGACTTAACTGCTCCTGGCAAAGGCACATACCAAAGATGAGAGGCAAAGGCCCAGGCGAACGCAAGGGCATAAACATAGCCAAAGTTAGGCCCACGGCAAAAGCTCCAAAGGGTCGCAATTTATGGCCGCAACATCAACTCGAACCCACACATAATAAATCATAACATTTTACAGATAATAGAAAACCTCACACATGTCCAATGAATTGCCTCCCTTAGCTACCAAAAGATATCGGTTTGTTGGCCCGCTGGCTAGAAATTTTAATAAGCCGCAAAGAGTTTCCACTACGAGCAGTAGAGGGAATAAAAATGGTTTCGCATAATTTATGCCGCCTAGGAGGAAACTAAACATGCCATCGCAGACATGAGCACTCTTAAGCTTAAAAGAGCAGGACGAGGTTTTCCAAAAAACCAACAGGCTGGCATTTTTCTATCAAATCTGTCAATATTCAATTTTTGGTTTTTTGGGGAAAAATTTAGTCTTGTAGTAGGCTGTGAGGTCGAATTCCTGCCTATATAAGGCGGAATTTGTATAGAAAGCATCAGTATATTTTTCAACAAGCAAGCAGCAAGACGCAAAATTAAAAGTATAGTCTCTGAATTATTTTTTGAAAAAAAAATATTTAAATTACAGTGACAAGTTTTATATATAAAAATAATAAAAATCAACGACTGGTGCGTATGAAAAAAAATTCCCCCAAAAAATATTCCTTTCTTTATAAATTAATAAATTAAATTCAGTAAATTAATATTCAGTACGTAGTAGTGAAAAAAAATTGTTTATCGAGTGAATTTTTATTAATAAATAGTAAAGACTGAAAAGTCTTGGTGCCGGTGCCAGGCATTTTAATTTATTTATTAATAAATAGTAAAGACTGAAAAGTCTGAAGCATATTGGTGCCGGTGCCAGGCATTCATCTCAGCTTCAAGCAGGGAAAAATATTTGCTTCTAAAAAAAAATCGGTATAAATCTAAACTTAATTTAAAATTTCAATCGTAGTACGGATCGCGTGAGTTTACATATCTCGTCGGGTTAGCGAGTTTGCAAAAGTCAATGAACGGTTCCCCCAAAAATATTCCTTTGGGACTAGATCGGTCAAAATTTATATTCAGTACACTTTGAAACGTTGAGAAAGCACTTCCTAAATTAATAGTGAAAAAAAATTGTTTATCGAGTGAAATTTTATTAATAAATAATAAAGAGTGAAAAGTCTTGGTGCCGGTGCCAGGCATTCAACCCAGCTTTCAACTAGGAATAATTTTTGCATCTAAAAAAAAAATAGGTATAAATCTAAATTTAATTCAAATTTTCAATCGTAGTTCGGATCGGTACGAATTTAAATTTTATTTAAATTTTCAATCGTAGTTCAGATTGGTATAAATCTAAATTTTATTTAAATTTTCAATCGTTATTCGGATTGGTATAAATTTAAATTTTTAAAATTAAACCCCCCTTGTGGGGTTAGCGAGCTGGCCAAAGCCAATGTACGGTTGCAAAGCATGTTGAGTGAAAGTGTTAGAAGCTTCCTTGGGCAACGCCCTTGGACCGGTCCGCGTGCTTGTCTAGATGTCGGATGGTATTGCCCGCCTATCTAGCCTTAAGCTAATGCTGAGGGCAGCCTGACGACAGGCGAGCACCACCTTACCACGCCTCCGCCTATTAATGGTGTCATTTACATGCTGCAGCCACATGCAGTTACCAGCGAAGGGCGACGATAAATCATGCCGCGATTTTTGTTTCCATCGGAGAAAAGTCGGTAGTTAATCGGTGCTCTTAGTTTTCTTTTGCCGTCGAAATCGTAAATAAATTATACGCCCTGATTGATCAACTTTTCCCCGATGACAACCATAAAGGGGATAGCAAGCGGGGACGCTGCACTGTCATTGTGGCCGAAAATGTCGAGGCAGCCGCTCGTAAACATAAATCCAAGTGACGCTAATTGTTTGTTGCAATTACTGCTGCAGTTGTTGCCACCGTTCAGTTACGTGTGCAGCCAGCGTCGAGGCGACAGGACCTGAAAGGGTCGATGTGGCAGGAAGAGGGGTTGTGTTTGCATGCAAATTTTGTTGCATCTGCAGTTGCTGCTGATGCTTTCGCTGTTGATGCTTCTGCTGCTGCTGCTGCAACGGCAAACAATTACTCAAACATTGTTGCAACTGCTGCTGATATTGTGGATGTTGTTGCTGTTGCTGCCGCTGCTGCTCGTTGTGCGTGCTAAATGGCAACTACTCTGGCGGCTAATGATAATCACTCGACGCCCTCTGCTCCTGTCGATTTCTACTTAGTTTAAGCTGCTTCGTGTTTGGCTTTTATCTTCATTTTAGCTCTTTGTCAGCAGCTTAATCAGAAAGGTTTTCAGAGCTTTGATTTAATTGAATGTTGCTTTAGCAACCTGAAAATTAGAAAATTTAAACTTTTCGAAAATGCAACAATGCATAGCAAAGGGCTCTTAATTTGTATAAGCTCATTTTAATTTTTTTTTTTTTTTTTTTATTGAAGTAACTTGCCTCTGTAAACATGATGCAGCTGCAAAAGCATGCAATCCCTTATTTCTAGCCCCCTCATTTTGATATTCAGCAGATAATTCCTACTATCTCACTCTTTTTTTTTTCAGAAAAACATACGGCTTTGGTACGACTTTATACGGATCTTTTTTACCTTTTACGGATCATCGCTAAACTATGGACAAGAGAATCTTTGACGATTACTTGAACTCGGTGGGATCTGACGAGAGCATCCAGTCCGTGATCGAGCCCTCCACCGAAGGTATGCTGACAGGGAAATCTTGCAAAGCCAAGAAAAAGCCTACATGTGCCCGGAAGCAAAAAAAGTGCGCAAAGCCTAAGAAGACGTGCAAGTCAAAACCTAAGAAAACCTGCAAGCCCGGTCCCATTATGAATAATGGGTACTTAAACTTTGTGCGTGCTTACCGGGAAAAGCACTGCAATATGAAACCCCAAGAACTGATTAGAAGGGCGGCCAGAGCCTGGTGCCGTTTATCAGAGGAAAAGAAAGATATATACCGCCGAATGGTGAGTTTTTTTGCATTATGTTATTTACTATCCTGTAACTAATCTTCTGAAATCCCGCAGGCTTGCAAAGTTACTACTAGTGAAAGACATAAAAGACGAAAAGTGTGCAATCCTGAAAAATGCGAGAAATCTTAGGTGGCTCATCTAAGTCTTCTTCAATCAATCCCCGTCTTCTGCCCCCTGCTAATTTTGATGTGCTATTGGTGGCTCATCTAAGTCGTCTTCAATCAATCCCTGTCTTCTGCCCTCGGCTAATTTTGATCTGAAAAATTAAGGTTTAGGTTTCCAAAACAGTCTATATTATTAATAAAGCATAAATTATTTTTTCGGCCATAATAAAGTTTTTATAATGGGAGGAAAGGGGATCAACCAAAATATACGCAAGAGCATGCTTTATGATGCTATTAATAGGACAGAGATAATTTCAGTTCCTATTGTATTTAAGAGAGAACTGCTAATAAGCGCCTGCTAGTCTTAGTTTTAGATTTTTAGTTTTAGATTTCCGTTTCTATTCTATTTTTAAAATGGACGGTCGTGTTATTATAGCTTTGCTTTACGTTCTGATTACTTGCAGTCTGACTTCTGCATGAATTATATGTGAGTTGATTTATTTTGAAGAGTTTTTGAAAAATTAAAATCAATTCTTCTATAAAGGGACCAATAAGTGGCCTAAAACAGATGACTTCATGGACCATGTTGGAAGAAAAATAGGATTAGTCTATGGGAGTATTTTTATGATCTGAAAATTAAAGCGTAGGTTTCCAAACAGTCCGTAATATCAATAAAGCAAAAATTCACTTTCGGTCAATTTAAGTTTTGATAATGGGAGAAAAGGGTACACAAAAATATTCGCAAGAGCATGCTCGATGTTTCTCTTATTCGGACAGAGATTATTTAATTATTATAATAGTACCACGCATACCGCCGCGAAAGCAAGCTAATCAGTCTTTATTATTCTGCTAAAATGAAAGGTAGTGTTATTGTAGCTCTGCTGTTCGTTTTGAGTGCTTCGAGTCTAAAAGTGGGAGATGGCGATAGGAATAGTGGATTTTTAAAGGAATAAAAGTTCGTTTATTCACAAAACTCTATGTCAAAAAGCCATCAGGCATTCCTTAAATTGGACAAGGAGTTCGACAAATGCTGCCAATCCAGAAAGACATCCAACAAGTTCGACGACTGTGCTTCTTGTTTAATTAAATGTAAAAAGTCTGACAATTCAAATATGAGAAGTCGCGTCTGGTATATTCTTCCCCACGTGAATCATACTAACAATCCCGTACCCCGTTAAATTTATATCAACATTAAACATCAAAGATCCAGTCACTAATAATCCAAGTTACTACAAACACATAAAAGTAAATTGACTCGTAATCGCCGGCATGGTCAGAATAAATCAATAAATTTAATTTAACTTAGATTTTGTTATTATTTTAATAAATATTTTAATCAGAGAGAAATGGTAATTTTGTTCAAAAATTCCGATGGCAATATACTCAGAAGATCGTATTTGATGTATAGCATATATGTGGTGTCTAATCGGACATATGTACACAGATAATTAAAGCTCTTATTGAGTTTTAAGAGCAGACTTCTGATAATATAATATTACCGTCACTTAAAAATATCAGTTTTGAGTAGGGAACTGCTTCAAAAATATGAGGAAATATAAATTATGGATAAGTTGATTTTAAAAATAGGGGCCAATAACGCGTGAACAGGTCGGACAAGTGGCACTCGGTGTTTGGTGTACATTTAGATACATTTGTATCTCGTGGCTCGCTGCGCGTAGCACGTGTATCTGTTTATGCAGCTGTACAAGCCCATGGACTAAATTCAATTTATTATTCCACTATATGAGCTTTCGCACTTAACTTGCATGAATATATAATGAGGTCTCCGCTATGGAAATGGAACGGGTAACTGCTAACGCTGAACGCTAAATGGGAAAGGTAATGCGGAGGAAGTAAGGGGTGAACGGGGCAGACTGGGGCTGATTGGGGCGGAAAGGTATCGCAAGATTGCGTGTTCGAAGCTTGCCAACAACCCTCTGACCCGGCGCCTGTTGTGAAACGGCTAAATTGAATTATTAATAACACGCAACGCTCGCACTGAAGTGGATGCTATATCTGCAAATGTGTATAATGCATATTGTGGTTTTGCGGAGACATCCTTGGGACAGTTGGCAAGGAAGAAAGTATAGCCAAAGGGCAAAGAAAGGACTAATCGCAGCACTTACGACCATAATTTGTCAATTTTCGAAACAATTCACCAAGCTGGCATAAATTGTCTCGTGGCCTCCTCTTTCCACTTTCCTGTCGTTGGCTTTTGGCACCCATTACAGCCCATTTTTCTTACTCAAAGAGACATGGCCGCCATGAAAAAGGAAAGTAAACCCAGTAACAGTGACGAACTGAGAAAAAAAAACGCATTTAAATACCGTAGTGTGCATAAATTACTCAGGAGCTGACATTTTCCCACATAAATGTGTAAATGAGTCTCCTTTTTTGGCCTTTTTTCGGCCTTGCCGCGAATGAAATTGAAACGGAAAAGTGGACATAAAGTTGGGGTTGCTGGAAACTCAATTGGAGAACTTGTTGCACTGGCTTGTTGAAACAGGGTCTGCAAAAATAATCAGTACGCTTCAATAAGTAAGACTCTATATTATCAAAAAAGCAATAAATAAAAACTAACCGAAAAATCTAATAAAAATGAATTGAGCTTTCAATAAATGTAGTCCCCCAATCAAATTTAATCGAAATTGACTAAATGGACGGCCAAATAAAAATTCACTTAGCTAACAAGAAAGAAAATCAAACAGATATTGCCACCCTTGATTTTGGGGCTTTTTGTTTTTTTTTTGTGCAAAAAAAGGAGAAAATGTAAGAAAATTACCGCCCCTTTGTGCATTTGGGCCGAAGATAACTGCCGACCAAATGACATACATTAGGACCAAGGTACACTTACATGGAGGCTGGGACGGCTTATGGATGTGCGCAAAATCAATTCAAGCTCGATTTCCTTTGATGAAATGGTAAGTGTATGGACCAGAGTATGTCGGCCATCTCCACGCCGTACGTGACAGTTGTGCCAAAATAAAAAAATAATAAAATAAAAAATTACTGCACATATGTAGGTACATACATATATGGCAAAAAAAAGGTATGGTAGGTGCAGTGCGAAAAAAGTGATGAGTTTCCCTTGTGAATCGTAGAATATTGACCTGAAAATCGATCAATTAATAATGCAAATCCTTTATGGTCAGTTACCAGGAACAGTCGCCGTTAATTAAAGCACTTGTCCGTACCATCCTGAAATCGCCTTAACGTCGCCCTTCACCGTATCTGCCGGGTGCTATGATTAATGTTTAATTAAGTTTGCAACATTCACAAAAATGAAAAAAAAAAAAAAAAATAAAAAATCATCACAGAATCGGCAGCCACGGCAAAGGATTACATCATATTTAATCACAGTCATTATTTATAATGATATCGCTCGCATGAGGCATTATAGTCAGTGCCTCGCAAATATGCCTGCCACAAGTTATCAAAAGCTCCAAGTAAGAGCTCCATTTTATATAAGCTTCATAAAGTGAATTTTATGAGAGTCCCTAAAGGGATTCCGCAAATTGATTTCGGCTGCATTTCGAATAAGTTTGGCACTTTTCAGCATAATCTCTTAAGCGTGTACTTATTTGTTTTTAAAAACTAAAATTTCAAAGTTATTATCAAATTCATCAAATTTAAATACCCATTTGATGTAAAACATTCCCACAATTTTGATGCAAATGCTTCGGATGTCATTAAACTATTTTGATCCAATGGCAGCCGATACAGATCACGGTTGTTCATAAATTTGGAATTACTCGCAGTGTTATCCCGAAATTCCCTTATTAAAATACTCACACGAGTGTGTCTGGGGCCGATTGTATGCAGAGGAGCTTAAAGTCGTCCTTATCGGCCGAATGAGCCAAAGTGCAGTTGCGTTCGAGTTGAAGTAAATTAATTAACAATGTTTATTGTTTGCACAATATGCAAGAGTTGCATTGCAGTGGCCATTATGTTTTCGTTGTTTTCGTAACTCTTATTATTTCTGCTACAGCATGTAGTTCAGATGCTTGTGGCCGCTCTGCCTGACTGACACTCAATTTTCAGTTGAACTTCAACTGTTGGAATATTTTACAACACATATTTGCAGCGCACATTATGAATTTAAATTAAATTATTTTGTTTTGCCTGCACTGTTTTGAATGCTTCGATTCGGCCAGCCTTCAATGAACGTTCTTGGTTCAATGCATAATCTGTTAATTGGTAATTGTAAACCATTAGTTAACTAACATGCAGAGCTGAGAAACCTGGGGCAAGATTCCCTTAATTACAAGTACAATGACTGAGGTGGCTCAAAACCTAAGTTATTGTTAGCTTTTGATGAATGGAAATCCAAAACACGGCCGATTAAATTGAGGATATTGGTCGGTGAAAATGTATAAAGATATTTGGTTTCAGATTGGATTAATTGAGATATGGGTTTTGATTCTTTAACGATAGATTATAAAACTACTTGCTTAGAAATCAATCCAATAATCTTTTTATTGTCAGTCAAATACTGTTTTCGATATCTTTAATCAAAATTGCAAAAATCTATTTTGGGCAATCGAGAAATTATGGCAGATATACACGAGCTGATTGTGACGTGCATAATTTTTTTGTACCAGGTGTATTTGCTTTTTGTAAGTATTTTTACGTAATATATGAGACTTGAAAGTTTGTTAAATAATTAAATTTCCTCAGCGATCCATTCACCCTCTCAAAAAGGATGCCATGCTGCTTATTTTTCACAATATTATGCTGTACTATGTGATCAATATGTTTAAACATCTGGCTCAAGGTGGGTTCCTTTTAAAGATTTTGTAAGATATTTATTTATTTAGTTTTTTTTCAGATACAATTAACTCTCCTGGTCCTGTTAACACGTTCTACTATTTACCTCTGGTGTATGAGGAGCCTGCTGGTTCGGAATCAAATCACAGTTGGCATGAAATTCTCAGGTCTTCCAGCTGGCTCTTTTTCGAGTCCCTGTTCCGCCATCATTTGGCCCTGTTGTTGCCGTTTAATTTGGCCCTCCTGGTTCCCGTAAGAGATTCGCTTTGTCCTGTGGCCCCTAAGTGCTCCCTCTACTCCTCTTTCAGCGCTGCAAGTTGGGCTTCATTAGCTCTTTGGTGCTATTGTCTAACCTGGTGATGTTCGGATGCTTCGCTACGGCCATCTGCCAGCTGGTGATTTTTACCAGCCATGCTGCCAGCCTGCGCCTCCTCACGATTCTGTGCCTGGGTCCCATGTGTCAAATGCTCCTGGTGATGCGCCTCCTGGTCCGCATATGGGTAAGTTCCCGCCACTGGATGGATCACCTGAGATGTGGCCTTAGCCTCTAATTTTTGGTTTCTCTAGTTCAGTATGTGGATTGTTGTTTGAGGCGCAGAATTTCGTACCTCAGCCGTCATAATCAGTCCGAAGTTAGTAGCTGCAATCAAAGCAATAAACCAACCAAAGCAACCGGCTCTTTCACTGGGAAACGCAACCGAAAATCACTTTCACTCCGCAAACTGCCAAACTGCAGGCATTTATGACAGCCCAGCAGAAAGGGGGGCTGGCCGGCGATCCCCTGGAACGTGTGTGGCACAAGGGCCAAAATCGCATAACAAAATTGTTGCTGAAAAGTTGAACAAATATTGAGGTCAGCAGAATGTCGAGTAGAGTCTCGAGCGGGCAGCATTGTTGCTGGTGCAAACTGTTTGCTAGCCTTTGGCACAAACTTCTGACACGCTCCCCGGCCCCGACGCCAGTCGGACTCGGATCCTGATCCGGAGCCTTTGCCGTGGCCGTTGTCGTCGTCGTAGCCGTGACTCTGAGTCCAGAGTTGAGCTGGGGGGAGAGGCCTCCGCAGAGGCTCGCCCTGAACGAAAAATATTCAATGAAAATCGGCAGTCGACAGACCCCTCTTTGTCAATAATACAAAATGGAAAAAATGAGTTGTTGCTGTTCGAGTTTGCATGGTGCAATGCAGACGTCGACGCAGCCCGGGGGTCCGGTTCCGATGCCGTCTGTCCCGACAGCCAACTACCATACCCTGAGCCCCGAACCTACAACCTTGCACCAACATCCCCAAAGCCCCAAAACCCCACACCCTCAGGCGTGCCAGCTGCCTTCGCCTCGAATTGAGAAACTGCCGCAAATGCTTTTCGATTTTTCGTTTTGCCACGGACAAGCCTTGGCTTTTCATATTGCATAATTGATTGGGGGTGCTGGGGGAGGAGTGTGTGAGTTTGGAGGTGTGGGCTGCATAAATACCAAGCAGACGGCATTGTCACTCCCCCTGGCGGCCCAGGCCCACTCCGCCAGCATTTATGCACATTTTCAATATGCATTCAGATGCCATTCCCCATGCATTGATTGCCGCATTGGGCCGGAAAAGAGCATTGCCAAGTTGTGTGTTGTATTTACGTTTTCCTTGGTAATAATTAAATTTCAGGATCTTAAAAGCGATATTCGCAAAAAATGCAACAAGTAGGATTTTAGTCTTGAATCGACATAAACCAAATTATAAAAGCATTAAGAAGGAATCAGGAACTTTAAGCTGGAAACACTTTTCTTGTTAAAACACTATAACCAACAAATGAACCTAAATAAAATATGATACTTTGTATTTCTCTGGTAGCTTCCTCTGATAACTTATTCTTCTTAATCTCATACCTAGTTTCTTGCATACTAATAACCCATCCTGAAAGGATGTTCCCTAAGAAGTTTTTTCCCTCCATTGCACTTCGGGGCACCTATTCATATAGTTAGTTTACCCTCTTGGAATGATGTACTAGAGCTCGGAGAGCACTCGACGAATCTCAAGTCGAGATATGGCCACACAGTAACCTAACGAGCCACAGACATCTTCGGGCCCCATCCTTGTGACTATATAGTAATGAGCAACGGTACGGGTCCTCGTTTCTCTAAGCATGAGAAATTTAATTTTAAGCCACCCCACATGCACACGCACAGTGCCACATACATAATTGTGTATTCACGTAAGAGATATGGTAGCTGAAAGAAGCTCTATCAACTGGAGAGTCTTGGGGCAGGGAAGCCGGGCATGGGTTGCCTTAAATTAAGATAATGACACGTGAGGTATCGCCTCCCGGGGCTTGGAGTGCGGCTCACTTTAAAACACTTAACCCTTGACGCCCAAGCCAACCACCAGCACGCCCAACCACCATCCCCCTCTACCCATCGAATCCTTAAACCAACGACCCACCCAGGCGATTGCACGCACTTTTAAAGCGCAACTTGATGGCAAACTGCCAAAGAGTTTGACTTCCTTGTTGGCGGATGGGGCCCTAAAGTAGGACATGCCAATGTGCAGGAAAGGCACACTTTGTGGCAAACTGGGGGAGAGCTGCTTACTTCGGGGTACAAAAAAAGTAATTAGGTCATCAATTGGCATGCCAATTTCTGCCTGAAATGGTTTAAGATTGTGGCATAGGGAGTATGTACTTTTTAAATAAGGTCTTTCATAAATAAAACAAAGAGGATTACTTTTTTGTGATTTTCTCTTTTCAGGACAATTTCGGGTATAAATCAGTAACTCTTACTGTTTGATGTTCAAATCAGCTAATCAATTGGAATAACGAAAACTAGGGATAAACCGAATACCGAACGAATAAAGCCACCAAAATGTGAAGAGAAATCATTGAAGTTTGCAAAAAAAATTTGCATTTCAAATAGCCACATGAAACATAGGTATGTCCTTGTATTTGTTACCACTTCCGTTGATGTGATTTGCGAAAGATATGCAGACTAGTATCTGACATGTAATGTGGCCAGTTGGGAAAAGATGCGAGACGGGTCTACAAAGACCCTCGGCGAAAAGGGAAAAAAAGATTTTCTGCTCCAGACTTTGGCCCCAAGGGTGCCAACTACTTAGAGAAGCAGAAACAGAGTGGCTAAAAAACACACGCAAAGCAAACCACACATCTTTGGTCCAAAAGTTGTGAACAAACTCAAAATTCTTACTTAGAAATCACTGAGAATAGTAGGGTGATTTCTTTGGAAAAAATTATCTGAAAAATATAGAGAAAGTTATTTTATGAATTTTAATTTCTGAAGCTTGTGGTCTTATGCTGATACTATGTTATATTTAACTTTTATAATCATACTCTCTTATCCCACTGTGCAGTTGTTGCTTTGTTTTCTCATGTAATGGCATTTTAATTGCAAGCTTCAGCTCAGCCAAGTGTCTCTCAATTAAAAGTGTCTGCCAGACTCAAAACGACATCCCGGCCCGCCATAATCTTGAAATGGCTAGGGAGATGGGCGAACGATGGCAGCCACATGTCGTAATTTGTGCGAGGGGAGATGTGAGGAGATCTCCGGCCCGGACCGTCCCACCACACACCAAGGACCTTTACGAAATCGCATATAACTGTTAATTATGCACGGAAAGCTGCGTGCAGGGCCAGATAAGAAGTCCGGAATGAATATCCCAGGAGATGACTGACTGGGATTGCCGCAAAGTCATACGTGTTCAGGCCATGAACTTTAAGTCATTTCGAAGTCAACTTCGTAACAATATCTTTGTAAATTGTTTTAACATTTTCATTGAATTGATTTTAAAATTCTTGTATGAATGGAATAGTGCGTTTATTATCTGGCAGCGAGCCGGTATCCACACCCTTGAGTCTCCGGGAAGAGTTTCGATTTCGAAGATTCGGCCTCCAGCACGATGAACCCCGGGATTTTATGCGGTCGCAAGTTGGTTATCTTTTCAGACTTTCAGACTTATTCAATTTTTAATTTTTTATATTAATCTTTTTAGTGGCAATCGAAGCCCAAGTCGGTTGGCTTTCTGGTCTATCGCTGGCTTTTAGGTGGCTTTTTTGGCACCGGCCTAGTCAGCTACTTTATCAAGTATTTCCAGGGCGGCCACTGGCTTATTTATTTGACTAATTGGGGATTTCTAATGTGCGGCATAACCAGTGTAACCGGAGCGGTTCTTGTGACTCTCTATCATTACAAACCTGATGACTGGGGTAGTATTACTCATATATTCATAAACTAATTCTATAGTATACTAAATTTTCATTTTATCTAGTGCCCCCCAGTGGTCTCATCAAGTTTTATTGGGCTTCCTACTGGACGAACCTCATAATTACTGGTGTTGTTTCTCTGACCTATTGGCTTACGGTTTACCCAGCGGACCGCAGACCCGGTAATCCAACTCGGGTCTCAGATCTTTACAATATATGGACCCATGCCTTACCGCCTATTTTTTACACCGTCGATCACTTGGTAGTTGCACAACCTTCTCGTTTGCTGCACTTTGTTTATCCTCTAGGATTCTCATTGATTTACACAGGATTCACATTGGTATTCTACGTACTGGGAGGAGTCGACTTGTAAGATCGAAAACTTTAATCCCAAAATGTATAATGCTTGAGTGCTTTTCCAGGAACGGACGTCGCTATATATATAGTTTCCTGAACTATGCCAAGCCAAAAAGTGCTATTTTGACCATCACAAGAATCAGTTTCCTGATTGTGGCACTTTCTAGCTATTTCTATGGACTTTATCGTGTCAGGTCATATGTGGCTAGAAAACTGGGCTTTGCTGGAAATTCCGAATAGTTAACATGGAAATCAAGATCAAATAAATAAAAATATTCGAAAATTTGTAACGAAAATTTTTAGTGAAATGTAATGGCCAACACGGAGGCACCAATATACTTTAACCCAAAACCAGAAGCTCTGAGTTTTAAGGAAGAGTTCCATTGCCACCGATTCTCCCTAAATCATGAAAGACCCCAGGACTTTCTGTGCTCGCAAGTTGGTCCTATAAAATTATTCAGCCCCCATACTCATGTTCCATCTTTTAGTGGCAATCGAAATCCAAAAGTCTTGCCTTTCTTATATATCGCTGGTTAGTTGCTGGCTTCTTCGTCACGGGGGTAATCAGTTGCATATACTTTTATTTTTGGCGCGGCAGTTGGTTTATTTACTTGACTAACTGGGGATTTGTCATGTGCGGCATTACAAGTGCGTACAGTGCAATACTGATCACTTTTCATCACTTTACATCGGATTTATGGAGTAGGCCCATTTTCCTTTTATTTTGACATAAGTATTTAACTGATTTCTTCTAAAAGTTCCTCCAAGCATAGTGATCAAATTATTCTGGGCCTGCTACTGGATCACCATAGTAGTGGAACTTACAATTGGAATCATCTATTGGGCTGCCATTTTTCCCTTCCGGGAAGCCCACCATCACGACATGGATGTACTTTCTGGAGTATTTTGTGTTTGGACACATGTATTGCCGACCATAGCCTTTACATTCGATAACTTATTGACTGCCCTGCCGGCACGCTTCCTTCATTTCATATACCCCATAGGATTTTGCATTATCTACACTGTTTTCACAATAATGTACTTTTTCTTGGGTGGTCTCGACGCGTAAGTGTTATATACTTTAACTTTTATTATAATCTTATATTTAATTATTAAAATGGTTAAAATATTTCAGATACGGTCGACCATATATATATCTTATTCTAGACTATGACAAGCCATTAAGAGCGGCCGCTTCTATAATTCTTTCATATATTCTAGTAATATTGCTGTCTAGCCTGCAGTATGGGGTCTATAGACTTAGAATCTGCTGGGCTCGCAAGTACTTCAATTCCCGCTGAAGTCATTCGAGATGGAAGACCTGCCGAACTAGACGCTCTACTTATAATAAAATTATTAAATATCTAATGCAAATATTTATATATACACAGTGAACTCTTGTTTTGTCACCCACTGCCGAGCATCAACTACAGGGCAGAAAAAGAAGAGATATAAAAGGAAAATTTAGCTTATTTGTCGTCTGATATGTCGGACTTGTTTTGCTGTTGTTTACGCCGCTCGCACGTGTCCGGAAAATTAAAAGCACTTCCGCTGCTGCTGCAACTCTATCCCCCTAGGCCCCTTCTGCGATTTGACTGGGTTCTTCCCAAACATGTCCCCTGTATCCATATCTGCTCGTATCTCTGAGTTCTCAGTCAGTTTTATATGCAAGACTTTCACAATTTGTTTTGATAAAGTTTGGCCCGCAATTTCGTAGTCTATTTATGTGGGTTTTTTCTTTGTTATTTCCATATCACATATATTTTGTATAATTTGTTTTATTGATGGGGACCTTGTAGCCTGAAGTTTCATGACCTTCCTTTGACTTAAGAATCCCTACTTTCCCAAATCCTTAACATATTTTATGGCTTGAATTTTCAAATTAAAGCTCGCTTACCTAGCAATTACAGTTTAAATTACATGTTGGGGCGTGAAACAGAAATGAGTTGACTTATAGTGACATTTTTTCAGGCCACCCCTGCAGACCAGTACCCCCAGTTACGTGGCACACCACTGGCACCCCCATTGCATTAACTTCTGCTTCGATAAATAAACAAGTTGAGCTACTTAAGATTAAAGTTGTTGTTGCAGTTGTTCCCGTCCTCGTTGTTGGCCTGTTGTTGTTGTGAGTGGTGTGCACACAAAATTTATAGTGAATACTTTTCCCCTCATAAGCACACGCTCCCTCCCTGGCAGCCCCTAGTTGCATTAACCCCTTCAGTCCGCAACAAAATTTCATATTACGTATACGCAACGTATGCGCATTTCAAGCATGAAACTTTTCTGCACAGTGCACAGCAGCTGCGCTGCCAACCGCCCCAGTCCCTGGCCTGCGTGTTCGCTGGATAATAATAAACATATAAATGTTTATGTTAAATTAAATTGAACGCAAAAAGGCGGAAATGTTACAAAAATTGTGTGCAAAAAAAGGAGCACACATTTTCGCCTTGTTGGCTCTGAAAGCAGGAAACGGAATAATTGCCAGCTCCTGCTTGGCAGCAACTGGAATTTAAGACGCACCTTTTAAGTTATGTTGGCTTTAACTGCCATCGTCACATCGTCGCTGGGCCACAGCCCGCCCACTTTTTGTGGGATTGCAGTTGGGTGCTGTCAGGCTGAGTGCAGCCATAAATACGTTAACATTCGATGTTTTAGGCGATGCCAGCTGCAACTAAGGAGCCCTGCTAAGTGGCTGCACTCTAACAGCTTCCAAAGGGAGTGCCACTAAGCATCTAACTTTATAGGAGGGGGTGATGTGTCTCGCTTCATATGTGTGCGGTCCCCATCGTTTAAAGAGTATTATCATGCCCTGAAGCAGTAAATTGGTTCGCAAATTGAAATCACTTAAGCTACTTGATGATGGCAACAAAATCTAGCCACGTTATTGAGAAAATAAAGCAGTGAAGGCAGGGCCACAAACTCGAGATAGTTGCAATATTAATCGTAACTTCAAATATTTATTTAATTCCACGAAACTATTTGGTAAGCACTGCTTATTGTTCTCCATGGAATGTTTCGATTGGTATTTTGTTGTGGCCCTAGGGCCCGACTCAAACGGCATTGGAATTTTATTCTTTACCAACCCATTCAAGTGTTAAAATATGTATATGAATTTGATTGGCTGATTAAGCACACACTTTACACAATCCGCCCACATGTGCGTTTGTACAAGCAGCCCCAGAGCAGCTCTTTTCCTCAGCCCATTTATTTATTTTTTGATTTGTATTGTCTGGCCCAGTTATTTTCCCCTTTTTTGATTTTCCTCGGAAATGACGCAAATAACGCAACAAATCAGGCGGAGAGGCGAAAACTGACAAACGCCAACGCAAATACAAATACACCTTCGGGCTTGGGTTATTGATGACAATAGGTTGGCGAGGGCCGACAACAGGATGTTTTATATTATGCCATAGAAAAATAAAGGCAAACTCGACACACACTCATATCCGTTCACGTACAATGCCCCTTTTTGTTGTTAGTAAAATATTATGCATAAATACCATTTAACCGACACTGAATATCGGGTATTCGGGAAAACTCTCAGCTACATGAAGAGCCAATCACAGGAATTACGGAAATCGGCTTCATTTGTTTGCTTTAAATTTAATATAATTAAGGAAATATCCTTTTAATTAATGGAAAGGTAAAACTAAAAGGTATTTTGTTTGGACTTCAAACTAAACATTTGGATAACAGGTTCACTAACTCTTTTCAAATAGAATTTTTATAAAATTATTATTCTCATTTTTATAAAATATAAATAATTTGTATATATTTATTTGATAACTTACCTTAAGTGGGTATTATCAAGTCTTATCTGGCAATAAAAAAATACATTTTCATCTTTTTGAGGAATTTTAAGAATGAAATTTAATTGTGTTGCTCATTAATGGCACGTTGGCAGTCCGAAGCTGGCCAGAAATATGTGATTTCCGGAAGTAAATACATATTTGTTCCATATTTATATGTACTTATGCTGCAACGTTGTGTACATATTGCAGATTAAATGTGTGTATAGTTTTCGAATGATTTACAGAGACTGAGAGCGACTCACTCGATTCTAGATTTAATTTTAATTTTAAGATGTATGATATTTTGTACAGCAGAAAATTTAATTTAAAATGTACTCTGGAACATATAATCACAAAATGAAGTAGAAATCATTGTGGATTATCTTTCATTATTTGCTTTAATGTGGTCGCTCTTGTTTTGTTTTGACAGAAACACATTTTCTGAAATTACTTCCAACTTATCTCCCGGTCGCACTCCTTTCAGAACAAAGCTAATAAACTTCATTCCATCGAAGCAAATACACACATACAGGATATATCCTTCGAAATAAACGAGCATGGGGCAAGACGCAGACAAGCCAACAAAAGTCCAAAGCCGAAGCCAATCAAAGGCAAAACAATAAACAAGCATGACAATAAATAAATAAATAAATAAATGCCCAGACAAAAGACTTAAAACGGAGAGTGCACATAGCACGAGGCGCTCCTACCCAGGCTCCAGGATACTTCGAGCCGGAAAGTGGAAACTGAAAGGCCCGCTCTGATTTGCGTAAAAGGATAATGACGCGGTCTTTTCCCGTTCGGTTCTCCTCACTTGCAAATGCAAACGACAATATTGAAAAAGAAGGACATCGACAGGATAAGGCAGCATGGAGCACAAGCCGGGGTTCTGGTGTTCTGGTGCAGAAATTGATTGAATGGCGTATTAAACTTAAGCCATACGCACACACACGCTGCCAAAAGTAAACATTTATCTTTCCCCTTTTCGTTTTTGTTATTTTTCCTTTTTGCCACTTTAATTTAACGGCTACTTAAGTCCATCATTTTGAATAATGCTGTGTACCAACAGGAATTTTGGGGTTGAAGTCAATTGTGCTACAAATATTTGTGTTTATACATTTTGTTCGATATGTTGAAGAAATTTATTATTTATGGACAAAGCTTTGGCTTTGATAAAGTATATCTAAGTATTTTTTAGTTGGGTATATTATTCAATTAATACAAAACATCTTTGTATAAAAGGGGCCGAACACAGCACCCCTGGAGTCCCCATCTGTTTAGCTTACCTCCTTCAATTTAACGGCTACTTTAATGCATCATTTCAAATTATTATCTTCTCGCCTGGTGGCAAAGTTGGCAAGTTCCCGTGCACGCTCAGTTGGCCACGCATCCAATGGGTCCTCGATGGGCATTAAAAGGAGCGTTGATGATGGTAGGTACCCGAAAGAAGCGGCGAAGGCTGGAACGAGCATGGTCGGCCCATTAAAAGGCCACCGCACAAAACTGCTGACATCACGACTGACGGTGATGGCGATGCCGAGATGGCGAGATGGCGACGAAGTTGCTGGCTACTTCAAAGGGGGCTTGGGGTTGGTCTCGGGCTCAGGCGAATTAAAAAGTTGCCTTGGTAATCCTTTTGCAAAATAGACGGGATTAAGTAAAATGCTGAGCCGGAAATTTATGCAACCCAGGTGGAGCATTTTCACCGGGTGCCGGCCAGGTGTTGACCATCAAGCCAGGCCCGAGTCGAATGGGAAGTTCGCCGCGAGAGCACTTAAATGTGCCACAGTGTTGCAATAATTACCGTTAAATGGTCACAGTTAAAAACACTTACAAAAAACGTCCCAGCTCAATCTGGCCCAGCAGGCTGTCTGTTATTATCCTTGCAGCAGGACAAAGCCACTGCAATATCCTTCGTGTTCTGCTGATGACGGTGATTTGTAATTTTAAGCGGCGTATGATTAACTTCGAAGAGCGTGGAAAGTGAAAAGTCTTCGAATCCTTTGTCGGGACTAAGTGGCGGCAGGCCCGAGGACCAAAGGAGTTACCCACCACATAATGCTCTTAATTAGTCTGGTGTATTTAATTAAGCCGGCACTTGAAGCCCTTTTCGGTTTGAGGTGCGACTGTTATGGAGACTTTGTCATTGGAACATGTTTCTTTTAAAGAGGAAACTATTATTTATTAAAAACTCCGACATAGCCAGACAGTCTCTAGCCAAAAACTAATGACTTGGCTCTAAATTGGCTTGCCAAATATTACATTTAAATTAATGCTCTGGCAATCTAAAACGGCTAGGGTTCGGTGGAGGAGAAGCTCCTAGATAATGGGTTGGCTGATGCCTGAAGGCTATTTGGGGCGCCGCTTTAAGCCAAAACCAACCTCCGCCCATCCAGAGTCACCCGTTTTGGGTGCCAGACAAGTGTGCACTTGTACTCATAGTTTAGCCAGCGTAAAAACATATAAATAAATATGAAAATGAAAATCGCATACAAAACCAACATAAACCAGCAGCAGTAGCAGTAGCT